TCATAATTTTGAAGTTTGAATTGTAAATATCATGTATGTGAATGGTACCCCCCCGGTACCATTGTTAATATTAATACAACACTATTCTTTTATTTCAAAAAAAATAGTTTGAACTGAAATTTCTTCATGGCGAGCAGGTCACCATCTAAAGTACCCCGTCTTGTTGTGCCGGCTGAAGTATTTGTCAACATCGGTGTTGCAATTGGTGGTGAAGTTAATCGTGCTTTGGGTTTCCTGCAAGATGTTGCATGTGGGGGAAACTTGAAACAGTTCTTGGTGGTATGAACTGTACTTTTTTCCTGGGACTATTATTATACATTCACATTCTTATTAACTGAGTGCTTCTTGATTCCATATATTTTCAGAAATATATTTGCATTCATAAGAAACATATGGTAACTAATCGAGCAAAATAAAAATTAGGTGATCAATTATCTTAAGAGTTTAAGTTTTAAAGAAAATGACTCAAATTATCATTTATGTTGTACTCTAGTGTTCTCCTTTATATGCAAGTGGAATTTTCCTCTTAGCACATCTACTCAATATATAGGAAAGCATGAAGGTCTGATAAGGGACCCTAAAGAAGCCATAAAAGCTTGATAGAGAACTCTAAAGAAGAAACAAAGGGTAGATAGTGAGCAATAGGAAGTGCAACATGACTAAGGATCGACAAGTGTTGTACTGTTTGAAGGTCCATTGATGGGTGAAGGAATGGTGAGCATCGATAAAAGAGGAGAATAAGGCTTCCATGGTTTGATTTGATCCAAGATCTTTGACTAAGAAATTGTCAAACAATTAGGTTGAGTGATCAACAGTCCCAAAAAATTGACATTCATCAACTAATGAAACTTCAGAAAGGAAAATAAAGAATTTTTCTAAAAGGTAGCATTTTTTCCTCCTATTATTGGTTTACAAGTCAGCTTTGTGCTAAAATTTGGTGGTAGTATTCCCTTTGTCGAACATTTAGCTGATTTCTTTTCTGGTGTGAAGAGATAATCTAGGTACTGACATGAAGATAATATACCTTGTGCCTTTTATATGTAAAGTTATTATTCCATAACCTGCTTGTTCTATCTAAGGGTCCATTGGTTAACTCCACAAGAAATTTTTATTTTGTGCTTTATTTTCGCTTCTCAGTCACATGCCTCATTGTCTAACTGAGCTTCTTTTATATCTTGATATTCCATTTCGGTTTCCTCTTCCTTTTTGTGTATTTTGCAAATCTTATTGAAGATGTTATATGGTCCCTACAGTCAGGCCTTTCATAAATGAATTATTACTTTCCCGCTAAAAGTTCTGCCCTGAAAAACTGGTTCGGCTGCAGACTGCACTTATTCGGAGTTGCTAAAAAGTTTATATTTAGGTCCAAGCTAGTTTTTTGTCAAGTTACTAAAGAATTTACAGAATTTGTATCATTATGAGAAATACCTTTTCTTTTCAATAACGATTCCATGTTTCCTGAGTGAGATACTTCGTATGATCTACAAACAAGTTTCGTTCTTCAAAATGGGCAGTTAACCCTATATAATCCCTCCAGGTTGTTGTAAGCTTGTGGGCTGCTGCTGTGATAGGGAGTTGGTGCAATTTTCTGACAGTTGTATATATTGGTAAGGAGCATACTTCCATGTTGTCTCTGTTGTTTGTTACTTATAATGTTTAACCTTCAATAGATAATTGAATTTAATATAATCATATAGACTACTTGGGAATTTCCATGAATGTTTTCTTTTTCTATGGTAGGTTTGGGGACGAATCAACAAATTTTTGTAGAATTCATCTGAAAATTTACATTTAATTCAATTAAGGAGGATGAAAATTCTATTAGAGGATAGTAAAAATTAATTTCTTAGGAGTTTCCAAATGGAACTAGAAGAAGGAAATATACAGTTCCATTCTTTGTTATTTGACTCTATTACATTTCAGGTACTAAAGTATTTTTTTGATAATTCAGCACTTGTTGTTTTTTGTCAATTTATATAAAATTGGTATTTTTTTTTTCTTTTTGAGATATCTGCACGTGTTTGAATTGATAAATATGAACACGTGGAGGTTGACAACTGAACAAATGAAAATTAAGGAAAAACAACCAAAATATTAGGGGCTAAATCATAAAAAATCCCTGTAGTTTTTAATTTGTCTCAAATTGGATCCTGCATTATCACCAAATTACAAGTTAGATGCTCCATTACAAATTATAGTCAATATTAACAGTTACTCTGACAAGACATTTTTTAACCATTTTTTTTTAAATAAAAAGTGTAAATATGGTATATAAACATAGTACCAAAGAGGGTACTGCCCATGTACAATAAATTTACGTTCTAGTTAGGGTAACAATTCTAAAATCTTCACCACTAATCATGTCACGCCCCAATAACCTATTCCCAAAAAAATGTAACCATCTATCTCTCAATCTATACATTAAATTCTCCTTGCCCTCAAAAACTCTAAGGTTTCTTTCTTTCCAGATAATCCACATCATCTTCAGAGGAATCAATTTGTTGCAATCATTTTCAAGCTTGAGACCACTTCATTCCCAAATTTCTTCTTTGACAGTACCAGCTACCATCCAGTTTAGCCCAATAAGCCCATACACCATGCTTCATGGTTCATAAGCCACAGGACACCATAATAAAAGATGATTACAGGTCTCCTCAGCTGTCAAACACAGGTAGCACCTGTTGAATAAAATGACCCTTCAAAATTAACTTATCTTGGGTCAAAATACATCCCCTGGCCGCCTCCCAGGCAAAGAAAGCAATCCTAGACGTAACTCTAGAATTCCAGATCTGTTTTGTTGGAAAGGTACAGATTCTGTCATCCCCTTACTGCTGATGTAGTAGTAATAAGACTTAACAGAAGACAACCCATTCTAATTCAGCCTCAATTTTAAAAAATCAGCAGAATTGTTCAGTTTCTGCGTTTCTAGAATACTTAGTAAATTCTGGTAATCCTGGATTTTCCAATCATTCAAATTCCTACAAACATTCACATCAGAAAACCTGCTGCCATTGTGCTCCCTATATGCCTCCTTAACAACCATGTTTCTAAATTGGGCTAGCTCAAATATTTTGGGAAACGGCTCATGAGAGAACCCCCTTCAATCCAAACATCCTTCCAGAATCTAATTTTATCACCACTACCAATGCTCCATTCAATGCAGTTCTGAAACTGGTGCCAATCCATCAGAATTTTCCTCCATATACCAAGACTGTGCTTCCTCCTAATTTTGCCAGACCCCTCTCTGTCTGGAGTATCCCCCCATTTGGCCATAATAACCTTTTCAGTCTATCTTCTTCCTTGAGGAATCTCCATAACCATTTTGCCCTAAGAGCTGTGTTTAGTTCAGTAAGTGATTTTATTCCAAGGGCCCCTTGCTTAATTGGTTTCTTGATGTCACCCCATAAAAAACGGTATTGAATAGTCTCCAATTGATGAACAATTTTAACAGGGATCGTGGTGGAAGACAGGAAATATATTGGAGGGTTAGTAAGGGGTGCTTCTAATCAATGTATATCTGCCTCCCTTCAATAAATTTTTTTTTTTCCATCCCACTAGTCTTCTATCAAACAATTCTACCACCGGTTCCCAAGATTTCAGATCTTTATATTTGGCCTCAAGTGGAACTCCCTAATATTTGATGG